AAATTCACTATTTTATTTTTTATCCATAATGTTGAACGTGTTAAAATTCTTCAACTTTTTTAACAAGAAAAATCTCAAGTTGATGTTAAAAATTGCCGGAAAACATTGTTGATTTATTTAAGATGTAATGATCTATTATGACATGTCTCTAATTTGTATTTACATACATTGTATTTATTTTTATTTTTCTAGTTGAATTGTTCACCTATATTGCATATGGTCCATTTTTGTAGAGAATTCAGTCATTTCTGTGCCACGCGTGATACACGCTTAGGCGATCATGTATCTTTCGATACATGACTGACGAGGTAGATTTTTTCCGCAGTAGGTTGCCATTTCTTTTTGCGGTAGACCAGTTGCCATCCAAGGCTATAGAACCCGGTCTGTCCTGCTATTTACCCATAGCTGGGGAGAGAAGAAGAGGATTCATACCTTTCCCAAGGGTCAGTCAGTTGGTTATGTGCCATGTGTGATACACGCTTAGGCGATAATGTATCTTTTGATACATGACTGACGAGGTAGATTTTTTCCCGCAGTAGCTTGCCATTTCTTTCTGTGGTAGACCAGTTGCCATCCAAGGCTATAGAACCCGGTCTATTCTGCTATTTATCCAAAGCTGGGAAGAGAAGAGGAGGATTCATACCTTTCTCAATGGTCAGTCAGTCATTTCGTGCCACGCGTGATACACGATACATGACTGACGAGGCAGATTTTTTCCTGCAGTAAGTTGCCATTTCTTTCTGCGGTAGACCAGTTGCCATCCAAGTCTATAGTACCCGGTCTGTTCTATTTACCCATAGCCGGGGAGAGAAGAAGAGGATTCATACCTTTCCCAAGGGTCAGTCAGTTATATGCAATGCATGATACACGCTTAGGCGATCATGTATCTTTCGATACATGACTGACGAGGCAAATTTTTCCCACAGTAGGTTGCCATTTCTTTCTGCGGTAGACCAGTTGCCATCCAAGGCTATAGAACCCGGTCTGTTTTGCTATTTACCCATAGCTGGTCGGAGTGGGAGAGAGAGAGACTAAAGGATTCATACCTTTACCAAGTGTATTAGCACGTTAGTGAATGTAATAGATTCGACTGGAATTCGAAAATATATAATTAGGTTGTACATATTAGGTTGAATTGTACATAATTAGGTTACAATAAACTGCGTATTTTATATAAATACTACCTTATGAAAATTGACATGTAGAATAGGGGCCTTTGTATTCATAGATTCAGGTGGGGTTGGTGGGGTTACGAGACCCTGGCACCAGCCCTGTCTGGTAATTTGAGAAGAGTTGCGAATTTCTTTAAAGGTTCTCTTTTTGTTTATCTCATTTGATAAAACATTTTTCCTTCGAATCCATATTGGAGTGACAGATATTGGTAACTGCTGCCAACTACGGTAACCCTCCACCCACCCACAGCTACACTCAGTCCGCTTTCATATCTTCCCTAATAGATGGTCCTTCCATGAAAATACATTTTTCCCCCATTTGATTTGCCATCACTAACACCACACGAAATTGACTGAGGCTAGGGATCATGTCAGTGCACCAGGACAACCCATATCATGACGAAATAATAAAAAAATTACTTTTTCTTCCCTTGGGACGGATAATATTTTGACAGTCGGTAGCAGGATACTGGTGATGGAGACCGGAGAGTTGTAATGTGGGTGTGTGGGTGCGAACAAGAGAGAGTGAGAGAGAGAGAGAAGGGAGAGGGGGGGGGGGAGGGAGATGGAGAGGAGAGAGAGGGGAGAGAGGGGAGAGAGGGAGGGAGAGAGGGGGAGAGGGGAAGAGAGAGTGGGGAGGGAGGAGGGAGAGGGAGAGAGGGGAGAGAGAGGGAGAGGGGAGAGAGAGAGAGAGGAGAGAGAGGGGGGAGAGAGGGAGAGAGAGAGAGGGGAGAGAGAGAGGAGAGAGAGGAGAGAGAGAGGGAGATGGAGAGAGGGGAGAGTGGGAGAGAGAGGAGAGAGGGAGAGAGAGCTTTCTTTCTTTCTTTCTTTCTTTCTTTGCCATCAAACTTCAAGGGAATAGATTTATATCTCCTTTTTCCTCTTCTTTTGCTAATTCTTTCGTTCTTTCTTTCTTTCTTTTTTTCGTTGTCATCAAACTTCAAGAGTATCGTTTTTATTTACTCTTTCTTCTTTTATCTTACTGATTCTTTCTTTCTTTCTTTCTTTCTTTCTTACTGTTTTTCTCATTCTTTTGTCTTTTCTTCCTTTTCTACCTTCTTTTTATTGTTTCTTGTTTTTACTGATTTTCTCTCTTTTCTTTCCTTCTTTTTTCTTTCTCGCTTTTTCTTTCTCTTCTTTTCTCTTGTGGCTTTTCTTCTTACTGTTTTTTCTCTCTTTTTACTAATTCTTTCTTTTTCTCTTTTTTACTCATTTTCTCCTTTTTTTTACTTTCCTAGCTTTTCCGCCATATTCTTCTATTTCTTTCTTTCATTCTTTCTTTCTTTTATACCTTTTCTTTTTGATTCTTTTTTACACTTCTATAGACTTTTTCTTTTCATCGATTTTCCTTTTTCTCACTTTCTTTCTTTTCCAACTTCTACACCATTTACCTTTTTTTCTCCTTCTTTTTTCTTTTAATACCATTTACAGACTTTTCTTTCTTTTTTATTATTGATTTATTTCTTTCCTTGCTTCCCAGCATTTGTTACACCTTTCCCTTAAACCGGAAGTGTTCATTTCCCGACATTCCACTTCCTCACTGCATCCTTCTTTGAGGGGAGAGTGAAATGTTAAAAAAAAAATAACTTGGATCTTTGTAATGTGGAGAGCATTTGCATTTATATTATCATGTTTTATCCGGTTGATGTGACGACCTTTTGAAATGAATTTTATATTCCAGATACATTGTCTGGAAATCAATGAAAACAGATCTTTTTTAACCTGGATTATTGGTAACAGTTACTAAAAGCAGTTTTAAACCTTTAAAGTTGACAGTTGTAACTTATTAATAACTAACCGGAAGTGTATTAAAGCAAACTGTTCAAAGATAAGTCAAAGTTGAAAATGGCGATTGACGTCACATTTAAATTTTTGTAGATTGTAGTTGACAGGAAAGCAAGAGGCTGGAAGAGTTTCACAGGGGGAAAATGTGGGAAAAGAAACTAGTGTTACGTGTTGATAATTGTAACAAAAGAAAAAAAAATGATTTACCACAACACAGAGCTAAATCACAAACAAATATTTAATTTACTAAAACACAACATAAAATATATATAAGATAAACAATTGTGGCCTACAAAACAGAAAACAGAGTTACTGGCGGAGTGTTACGAGGAAGAAGGAAAGGAAATCATATATCTTTATCACTTTAGGGCTAGTGAAGTAATCTAAGTGCTATATTTGGAAATCCACAAAGGTGTGTAAATAAATATTAATTTTAGTTTGGTCAATGAAAATTAGTCAAAATTCTATTTACCAAATTTGTTCCATGAAATTCTCTTTTGGGTTTTGGTTGGTCGGCAACTTTTATAGAGATTCTTTCGGCTGGATATAATAGTCCTTGAATCAAAAGCCGGAGTTGATAACGGCAGAAATTTCCTTCATCAACTGACAACCCTTTTCCAAAATCCCATTTTATAGGGCTAACACCTAATTTGCATATTTCTAGATGTTTCTCGAATCAACTAGATTTTTCTCGAATATACTAGAATGATCTAGAATCTTCTAAACATTCTATTTCTAATTTCTCTATTTTACAACTACTTCATGAATGAAAACTTTTTTCTAATAACAAGTAGAACTCAGTGGAATCCCTTCTTATAGAAATGCATCCTCGTAACACTAGTAAAATAGAAATTACATTTAGCAATTTCAACAGTAAAATGATGAGACCTACCTACCAACCTAGTACTGCTTTCCTAACAGTTCATATTTCTATGTCCTTCTTTGATAACTTTGTGTTATTTTCAGTTGAAAAGAAACCAAGTGAGCCTAGTGAAGCAGGTGACCTGATAACATAATAAAATGGACACAACTTGATATTGGATTCTTAAACCAAGCTACGCATGATTATAAACTCTGTAGTGTGTTGAGTCATGTGAGTGCAGATTCTTCTACAAGCAAAGAGAGTTTTCTATGATCATCTATGCTCACCAATAATGTTCCTTGAATTGCTCCTAACACATTCTTACACTTTACCTTTCTTATGATCCTTTTGAATTAATTGCCACTCAGTCTAAACAACTTACATTGCAGCTGCTTACCAAATAGTTAAACAGGGATAAAAATTAATTTGTAGTTATAGACATTACACTAATAGTATCTTACAGGTGTGTTTGTATTTCTGAAAAAGTTTTAACTTGGATCTTAGTAATGTAGAGGGTATTTGCATTTAGATTTTCATATTTTATTTGGTTGATGTGAGGACCTGATTTAATCTCATCTTTTGAAATAAATTTGAAATTCCAGATTCTGGAAATCAATGAAAACAGATCTTTTTTAAATATATATATATACACCCTCTATTCTATAATAGTTGTTAGATTTACATATTTTCACCTGGATTACTTGCAACAGTTATTAAAAAAAACCTTTTGTTGTTACCTTTCATTACCGATCAGTCTGGACACTGCTGCTGCTTACGAAATAGTTAAGGGGAATAAAAATTAATTTGTTGTAATAGAAATTACACTATAGTATCATACATGTGTGTTTGTATTTCTGAAATGTTGTAACTTGGATCTTTGTAATGTGGAGAGTATTTGTCTATATCTCTGAGATGAGGTATTATGATTACTTGTGTTATCCTCATCTTCGTTGCCATATTCCCAATGTTTCGTTCGTTGTACACTCCGGCCTTCTTCAGGTGATTGAAATTTCGAACTGAACTCTTTGTTTTGTCCACCGGGGCAGATTGTTCTAGTTCCACGTTCTAGATGTCTCAGTTATCTCCCTTTAACTCATTTAAGTTTTGGCTCACCACTGCTTTAATGTTGACAGCAGTCATTCATTAATAAGTAACTTGAAGTGATTTAAAGCAAACTAGACTTACGGCCATATCACGCCGAAACAGCGGTTCCGGTACGATCACCGAAGTTACGCAACGTCGAGCTTGGTCAGTACCTAGACGGGTGACCCCTTGGGAATAACAAGTACTGTAAGTTTGAATGTGCGGGTGATATGTCTGACGGGCATATCGCGTTGAAACACCGGTTCTCGTACGATCACCGACGTTAAGTAACGTCGAGCCAGTTCAGTATCTAGATGGGTGACGACCTCTTGGGGATATCAGGTACTGTAATCTTGGATGTGCGGGTGGTGCAATGGCTAACCTCTAGGAATTGAAAACCGGGGAGCCGAGTTCCAATACCAGCCGGGTTCGTTATGCTCCTTTACACGCAAATACAGTTGAGACAGGTATGAATCCACCTCACACCCCCACTGCAGCTATCGGTTATTTATTAGGTTGGTGCAAAAACAATGACGTAATAATGTCGTTTTTGACGTTACGTCAAAAAACGACATTATTACGTCATTATTTCAGTATTTCTACAAATAAATCATTATGATCTTCTGGTCACTACCTAGACAGGTGACCCCTTGGGAGAACCAAGTGCTGTAACCTTGAATGTGCGGATGGTGCAATGAATAACCGTTTGGAATTGGAAATCGGAGAGCCGATTTCGAATTCCCGTTGGGTTCGTTATATTCACTTACGCGGGATTATCCTTAGGAAAGGCATGAATCCACCTTTTTTATTCCCCAGCTATAGGTTAATTAGTAGGACGTGTATCAGTAAATTATTATTATCGCCAAAAATTCTTATAATCTAAAAACAGCACCAATTGTGACGTCCTCGCCGCGGCGCCAACTGTTCGCTCCTCGCTGCTCCGCCCGGGTGTCGCTGCTCCAAACGTGACGTCCGCCTGTCGCGTCAGTCGTGTTGTCTCGTCCTGTGACGACCAACTGGCTTGGTATCGGTCGCGGCACCCAAATGTGACGTTCTAACCTTTTGGTGATTCGGGTGGGAATCTGGTTAGATTTGATATCAGCCTCGTCGTTCCCAACTCGCTTCCAACGACTGGTTACCAAGGTAACTGCATTGATCTCCAGTCTGCCTACCCACGTTGTGAATTGATCTTAGACAGACGAGATCAAACAGTCGTTGGGGCCGTAATGCAAATTGAGTTCAACGGGGGTGATACTACACAAATATGCATAAAAGAAAATGAAATGAAAACTCAAAAAGTTCAAAGTATCAAAGAAAAAGGTAACAAACTTTATGTCTAGTTGTTCGATACATAGGACTACATCTATCTCCCGACCCGTTCTGTGGATTGTGACACGTCGTTTCCGCTAGGCAAGTTTTAACGCTTCAAGTTGTTTGCTATCTAAGAAATTGGTGTTTCGGTGTGTCTTTGGACGAAAGTCGAAAAAACTTATTTCGGTGGTCTGGTTCTAAGTCGCTCTTCAAAATAATTGTTCTTGGGTTGAAGAGGAGTCCGGAATTTGCGTGAATCTTGGTCAGCTATCTCCGAGGCGGTTTCAACTGGAGACTGACTCTGGGAACTCAACTCTGGAAACTCGAGCCCGAACTCTTGATTTCTGCCTGTTGGGGCCTCGCTTTTATTGACGCCGACAAAAACCGGGGTGGTTCTGTTGGCGTCGGGGGGTTCCTCGATAATTCTAAATACATATCCACCTCTTTTATTTCTGGTTAGGGATTTTCCACTCTTTTCCATTTGTGGGAACCCTTCCTCACTCCCACTTTCTCACCATACATCTGAGGGGCGTGATCTGCGATCCCCACTTCTTCGTAGCAGCTTCTCATACTTATACTCTGGATGGGGCGTCGACAGCCTTCTTCGTGCGTCACGTGATCACTCTCGGCCAATGAGGTCTTGGTCGGGTATCTTTCCTCCTCCTTCGTGCGTCACGTGATCACCACTTGACCAATGATGTCTTAGTCGGGCGTGAACAATCCGTGGCTTTGTTTCGGAAAAAAAATCTTGCTTAACTAAAAAAAAAAAAAAAATTATCTCTTCTCTTTCGCTTAAATCGCCGTTATCATTTCTCTAACCACGGACAATATGACAACTCTTGTTTTACACGTGGTGTTTGTCAGGTATCTTATCGCTAATTCATCAAGATGGGTGGTATTCTTAACATGGCTTCAAAAAAGAAATATCCCCAAAGTTTTCAGTCAGTCTGTCGCCTCCAAGGAAGAAAGAAAAACACTTCTGGTTCCCCATTCATTTTCCTTCGGTACATCCTCCTGATAACATAATTTTATTATCGCAGGCCAAGTTGTTTTGTCGAAAAGAATTCGGTCAGCGCACTGCTTGTATGGGATTTAATTTTTCATATCTGTCCAAAGTCCTTTTTAGTGGCCTGTTTCTCGTCACTCATCGAAATAGCATTTTCAATTGAATTTTTCCCTGGCCAGTGGTCTAGATAACACAGCCGTTATCAAAACACATCTGGTTCCTTCTTTCTTTTCCTTTCTTTTTTACTCAGAAATTCCCTGTCATTGTAATGACACCCTTTTTCATTTGTTACTTATCAATATTTTCATTGTCTCTTAGCCATGTGTGTGTCTGCTTATCACCTATGATTCGTCTCGCATTTCTTTCTGCCTTCCTTTCTTTCTCTTCCTTTCTCTGCCTCGTAAATGGTGCCACACTGCTATTTACCCATAACTGGGAGGAGAAGAAGAGGATTCATATATTTCCCAAGGGTATTAGCACGCATGTAAATGTAATGGATTCGATTGGAAAGTTTTGAGACTTATAAATCTAAAGTCTCAGTAACTCTTTTTACCAGAGCTCATATTACAATTTTTTTTATTGTTGAGTGGCCAGATAAGAGCAACAGCCCGAACAATGTAAATAGTGTAAATAGTTACAATACCTCATCTAAGAAATATTGATAGATCCTGAAGAAGGTAAGAGCATACAACGGCCGAAACGTTGTGAATATGTCAATAAAGATGAGGACAACAGTCCGAATGATGTAAATAGTGTAAATAGTTACAATACCTCATCTCAGAAATATAGAAAGATCATGAAGAAGGCCGGAGCGTACAACGGCCAAAACGTAGTGAATATGTCAATAAAGATGAGGACAACAACCTGAACGATGTAAAAAGTTACAATACCTCATCTCAGAAATATAGACATACGATTAAATTCAGTTAGTCAGTTATGTGCCATACACGCGTAGGCGATCATGTATCTTTCGATACATGACTGACAAGGTAGATTTTTCCCGCAGTAGGTTGCCATTTCTTTCTACGGTAGACCAGTTGCCATCCAAGGCTATAGAACCCACTCTATCCTGCTATTTACCCATAGCTGGGGGGGGGGAGAAGAAGATTCATACCTTTCCCAAGGGTATTAGCACGTAAATGAATGTAATGGATTCGACTGGAATTCGAACTCGGCTCTCCGATTCCTCAATCCGAGCCGCTATCCATTACTTCACCGTACCCCACTTTACTTATACTTCTGGAAAGGTAAGAGGCGAAAAATGGTGACGGCGTCGTGCACAGAACACATCAGCTCCTTGTGCAAGGAATGTTTCAAGATGTGTTTTTTTTTTTTTTTTTTTTTACAGTAAGTTTCACCCTGTACAAGGCCGGGAGCCACTCGGGGTAGAGGAATAGTTAAGGGGTAGTTTATATGGAAAGAGGAGGAAGATAACGGTTAACTCTAGACTTGAACAAGTTAAAGTTGTAGTGATCGGGGAAAACATTCTCTTGGGAGTTGGTTCCACAGAGCAAAGGTTCATGGGAAGAAGCTGTTCGAGTGGAACTTCTCGTTGATCGAATACTGAGGGATTGTGGGTAGTTTGCTAGTATGTAAGTAGAATGGCGGATCCTAGCCGTGAATGTTAGATCAATCGGAGACAAGGAATATAGTTCGCCTCAGCCTTAGCAATAGAGCAGTGAGGAACTTGCCACATCTCGCCTGTTAGAGAGAGGTTAAAAGGCGGAAATTAATTCTTCTCCGTCAAGGACTTGGAGACGCTTTTAAACTCTATCGTGACTGGGAAGTGAGGAATGGTCCCACCCAAATGTTAAGAAATATTAAATTTTGGGTCCTACCTTTTTTAAAATGCTGTTTTAACATTTTTATGTTAAAACAGCGTTTTAAAATAGTTCTTTATATATAATTACAGCAAAAATAAGCTAAAAACTATTCTTTAAAAAAATTTCATTTTTCGCTTTTCTACCGGTTCTACGATCGTGCAAAATTCCACCGTTTAAACACTTAATAGAAATCTACGTTTATCCAAAAATGTAACCTGGGTAGATAGGGTAGGTAATAATAAGCTAAACTTAAATAATCTTAATACAAATCCAAACTTAAATAGCGAATAATAATATCGCTTTAATTAAATCGTAATCTAGTGTTGAAATAACAAACTTTACACCATAATCTGCTCTTAAATAATCACATATAATCGCAAAAATCGGTTTTACTTTCTGTAACAGTTTGCAAAGCTGAGTTATCTCACTAAATTAAGGGAAGTCAATGTCTAGGTGCGAAAACGAAATGCAAATAAAAAATAAAATATGAAAAGGAGTTATCTGCCCTTGAAGTGTACGTAATGCCCTTTGACGGAGCACCAAGTGCAAGCGAAAACTCGGGCGACACCACACCCCACGTTGTTTGGAAATGTTGAAAACGATATTTTCATAAATTAAATGCTAAATTTCATTTTAATGCCACCATTGCATTCACAGCAAGTATTTTAAGTGATTTTCTAGGCATTCTTTTTAATGTCGGTCGAACAAGTATTATTATTATTATTATTATTATTGTTGTTGTTGTTGTTGTTGTTGTTATTCATTAATTTTCTTTACTTCGCAGGCACCACCATCATCAACACATCGGCCACCATCATTATCACCACTATCATCGTTAACATCATCACTATCGTCATCATTACCATCACTACCACGAGCACCATGGCGACTGTAATCACCACCATCAGCATTATCATCACCATCACTATCATCGTTATCATTATCAGCACCACCACTATTAGCACCATCACAGTAATCATCAACACTATCAACATTGTCAATACCATGGCCACACTATTATGACCATCACCCCTATCAGTATCATCACTATGAACATTATCTACACAAATACGGTCATCATCACTATCACCACTGTTCCTATTAACATCACCGCTACGACCATCATCACCACTACTACCACTATCAGCAGCAGCATCATCACTATCAATATTAGCATCACCATCACCTACACGATCAACATCACCATCACCA